ATATGAATCAAAATTTCTACAAATTTTGCAATTGCCAATAAAGAGTAACCCAATACTAGCGGATTGAAAATAAAAATCATTATAAAATGTAAAAAAAATTGCATACCTTGAGGGTCTATTTTATTAAAAATTACATTGATTTCATTAATTTTCATCAATTTGCATAATATAAAAATGTCGTTCAAAAATATATCAATTTTATAAAAGAAGCTAATCTTAATATTAAAAATGCAGTAGTAGTTGTAGAGTAGGAGTTAGAAGAGTTGTCAAAATTTGATGACATATTTCTTATCAGACTAATTTAGTAATACGAGTATAGTTTATATATATGTATAGTAAAAACATATAAACTGTACATAAATTGAGTAATTTCTTTTGATTATTATAATGTTATAGTACATTCTATTGGTGTTCGGAAAAAATTAAATTTACTGCAGGGTTAAATGTCATAAATTTCACCTCATTTGTGTAATTTTCAAGGCAGTTTAAATGTACATTCTACATATATTCCGCTAAAATGTATTAAATTTCAATATTTCGTTCAATTTTTTCCAATAAATATCCGAATTCAAATATTTTGTACCGAATGTATCGAATGTAACGAAATATCGTAAATTTTGTAATAACAATATTAAGTTTGATGTCTATTATAAATCAAAATTTTTCTCCCAACATCAATAGTTTCTTTAAAAACAATATTAAGTATTAAGACTTCATTTTTTAAGAGCCTGATCGCAAGTAAGAAATTAATTTGACGTATGTACTTTATAATTTTGATAGCAAATCTACATTTCATTAATAATTTTTGTTTCACATAATACAAACATTAAAATAAAAGAAAAAAAAATGTTCAATTGAAAATTGAAAAGCACCATAGATAAACTTTGCGTTTGATTTAATTGGTTAATTAATAACAAATGTTAACTGCAAGATCCTTGCTGAACAGAACACATTTTAAATAATAATTTTTGTTTTTAATTTTATAATAAAAGAAATCATTAAAATTTTCATTTTGTTCAATTATGCTATTATTTTTGAAATATGATAATACAAACGATTTATATTTAATTTGGATTAATTTAATTTAATTATAAATATTAAAAATAATAAATCGCTTTCAATTTATTACAAAATATATAATTTTCGAATAGGCAAAATAAAAATAGAAAAATAAATACACCAATTTAAAATATGATAAGATACGCGAATTTTACGAAATAATTTGGGAATGTATAGGTACCTTAAATACTGTTATACGGAGATGTAGATACCGACATTACAGTAGAAATTCAATCAATTCACAATAGTTTTAGTTAAACCAATTTCCAAAAATTAATGTAAATTCTACCAAGAGTCGTTTAAATTATAAAAATAATAACAAAATCCTTGATTAATATTGAGGATTGTTTATAAGTTTTCAATGCCTCAAATACTTAAATTTCGAGTTCACTACCAAACATAACGAGAATAGGTATTATACCCGAATTTTAATAAATTATCATAAAAGTTTTTATGTACTTAAAAATTTATAATTATTTTGAATACATTTTTGTGAAGACCTCGTTTTTATAACAAACCGAATTCATTACTATAACTATACTTGAAAAAATTTTCACAAATTTGAATAATTATGAAAAATGCATAAATAGTTCTCTTTACTTTCATTTCTTTAAACAAAAATCACTACAAATGCAAAAACAATAAACGAATTTTCTAAATGCATTAAAAATTCATATATACCTAATTCATTTATGTATGAAAAAATTTCTAATATAGACAATACGCCTAGATTATATTTCTAATATTTGTTCACAATTTACAACATCACAATACCCAATTATATTTAACATTTTCGTGGTGGAAAATTTTGATTTCTAATATTTACTATTTCAATAACAGTAAGAAAAATATAAATATGTGTGTGTTTGTCACTATATTCATTAGTATAAAATTTTGCGATTTTATGAATGAAAACTTAAATTAGCTTAATTCACGTACATTACAAAAAAAAAAATATTATCAGTTCCATTTAAGCAATTTCTATGCTAACAAAAATATTGGTACTAAAAATGAAGCTCTACATATTTGACATACATTCATTTGAAATCTAAAATTATGCCCAAAAATGTTGATATAATTAAGATGCTATTTCTATAGAGATAAAATCGAGTTGTTACGTGTGTATCGAAATATAATGAATGTGCTTTTTTGTATAAGTTTTGAATTAAGGATACCTTATTAAGTTTTGGTGTAAATGTTATATGTGTTCAGTGAATACTAGCCGCATTTCAAAAAATTTTTACATAAAAACAATAATTACCATCTACAAAAAGTAAACCTAATAAAATTTTGTGAAATTATTGAAATTTTACTCTTAATTTACAATATTTTACCATACATAAAAAATATGAATATATTTTTGAATTTTAGGAACTTGAATGAAATGAAACCATAAAAAAAATCTTAAACTCTTATATTATTTACTTGAATGCGTTTTCTTAAAAATTTACTATGTTATTTATTGAATTTATAAATCAAAATTTCAAATTTAATTAGTACAAGTAACTCATATGGCTTCAATATGCATATGAAGCTGCAATGCATATAAAAAGGTGTTCCGAAATTCACGCAAGAAGTAATTTTTATATAGAAAACACAGGTTTTAAAATTAAAAATTGTAAATTTTTTATTGATTTATATTTAAATAGTAGTGATAAGGTTATGTATTGTACAGCATATGGGGTAAATGGTCTCCACGACTTTGCTGGAACGTATGCACTCTTTCGTTGAAATTTTCCATGATCGTTTTGCATACATGTGACTGAATTTCGTTGATACAGCGCTAAATTTCCTCTTTCAAGAAGTGAATGGTCGTCGGCTTCTTGGCATCGCATGATCTAGGCGGCCAGTTCTGATCACCAAAACGGGAAATTACACAACTAGAAAATGACTCATACAGTAATTGAATTGTTTCTCGGGCTGTATTGCATTTGCCACCGTCTCGTTGAAACTATGTACCGTTCACATTCATATCTTGCAATTTTGGCACAAAAAACTGCATTATCATATCGCAATAGCTGGCACCATATTTATCTTTATTGTATGACCAGCTGCATTTTCGAAAAAGAATGCCGCTTGTTAGATACATGAAGGAAAAACTAAACTTTTGCAGGAAAAGTATGAAAAATTTTTAAATTAACAAAAACAAAAATATTTTCGTCTGTAAATAGTTTTAACTTTTAAAGTATTTTGAAGACTTTTTATGCCTAAGCTGATTTTTTTCTTATTTTTTCACCCATTTCCATAAAACCTTATTGCGGAAACTTTTCTTATAACAAAAACTATTTTTGATGCTTTAATACTTTATTCAATATTTTGAAAATATTTTTACAAATTTTAGATATTAAATAATATTAACCCAAATTGGTTTACTTTTTTTTTTATTTCACTTTTATATTTTATATAAACTTTAAATTTTTCTTTAAGTTTTACACTTTATTTTCAAATTTCTCTGCAAATCAGTGTTTTTCAAAAATTACTATAAAAAATTAATAATTACAAAAATTAAAGTTAAGGCTAGAGAACTTTTTATGTGAAGGCAACATGGATTGGTAATTGCATTCAGCGTTTCCACTTGAATACAATTGTATCCATTTGTCCGTTTTCATGGTGAATCATCTTTAACGTAAATACAAAACCTAAATTTTATGACTTTAAATTTTACATTTACAATGTGAAAGAAGTTGTATGAGATTTATTATAGAATTTACTATAAATAATAAAACTCATATTATTGAATAAAATAAATTAATATTAATTATGAGTCAATTTGTACAAAATAAGATGACTTAGTAAAATAATTCTACTTTAAGAGGCTGAATACATTTTGGAAAATTTTTTTCTGGAAATGGGATACATTTTATTTTTACCGAGTAGGAACACTGATTGCATTGCAACTTTTAGCGTTAAATAATTATAAAAATTTTTTTATAAATGTAAATTAACAATTGTATTTATAAAAAATTTTAATATATTGACACAATTTCATAGAACTACTACATACTCGTGTTATCCTAGAACATATCATTCATAATATATGAAAATATCAATTAAATTTAATTGGTATACGATATTAACTTAAATTTATTAAAGTTACAGTGAAACCTTAACACTAACCCAACACCAATTTCTACTACCGTGGATCTTAAATGACTTTAAAGTTTTATGTATATCTACATCCATATATTACTAATGTATAAAGAGCAAGAGAAGAAAAATATTAAAAAAAATCGAAACAATCGAAATATTATATTTTAAGAAGAGCAATAAAAGTAAAATTGCAATGTCAAAAAATATTATTTGCATGAAATTCTAATAAAAAGTTTAAAATTTTTCGGCCGTCGTTTGCTACCTATACAAGTTTAATGTGAAAAAGAAATTCCAATAACATAATTATTTGTTCTATGGTCCTGTAAAGTTTAAAATTGAAACGACGAAAATAAATTTTACACCACTGGTATAAATTTAAAAAATATATGTATATATACAAATAATATATAGTTTATATTTACTCTTATAAGTTGGTTAAACTATATAAAATAACAAAAAAAAAAATCTTACAAAATTTTTCCATAGAAACGTTAATAATTTTATTGGTCAGTTTTGAACGATAGAACTTTCTCTATAAGATTATACCCACCACTTATATAAACTTTTTAATTATTACTTTAAATGAAAAGATTATAAAGTAACAAAACAAAAAAAAATATTAAAGAGTTTTAGTATAGAAAAATCATAACCAAAAAATTACAAAAAAATTTGGAAAATTTTTTATAAAAAATTTATTATCTAAGCTTTTATGATAACTTTTAACAAAATATTTATAAAAAAAATTGAGATTCAATTAATTTCGATAAATTTTAAGAATATTTCATTATCTAGGTAATCAAAAATTATTTTATTAAGTTTTCGTTATTCTTTAAAATAAAAAAGTATTTTTTAATTCAAATCAATATAAACGAAATCAAACTAAACAGCGATATATAAACAAACACATATACATAATGTATTTTGAAAATTTTAAAATAATTGATTTGGCTGTTTCTGAGGTTTCTTACAATTTAATTTCAATATTTTGCCTTTTTGATCGCAACTGTTTAGAGTATTACGTTTTACAAATCGAAATCTACAAAACTGTTGTATGAAATTACAAAACTAATATTGGTAACATAGGGTACATAATATATAAATCAAATCATACTAACTAATAATTTATTATAAATGAAATTTATAAAAGCAAAATAATATTATATAAAATTGTGGAATTCAATTTATTTGCAAACATTTGGTACATCACAACAATTCCATTCAGATGGCCGCAAATATCCACTATAAAATTTCAATTTTGAAATATCCAACTAAAAATATAAAAAAAAAAATTATTTAAGTATAAATTTATTTATAATGTGTGTAATCACTTTAATATAAAATTTTGCTTAATTTTCAATATTGCAATAAAAATTTCTATAATTTTAAAAAAGTTTTTGGCTAACACTTTGATACTTCTTTATTTCAATTGCATTATTTTCTCGGACACTTATGTATAAATTTACTAATTCTGAATTAAAAAAAATTACAATGTAAATTTGATACCTTAATTTCTTTGAATTTATTTAGTGCAAAACACGCAATTAAATAACTTTTAATTCTAATTCAAGGAGTACGCTCAATTGGCTATTATTTTTCAACATAGCTACGTATATAATATATAAGGATTAATTTAAACACTACATATAAGATAAACTCCTTTTGTGAATAAAAATAAATTCATTGTATTCAGTTGTTTTCCTTGCCTTAATTCATTTGTACTTAATTTTTATTTCAAAAATTTCAAGAAAAAATAAGGGGCTCACAAGCAAAGAGCAAAAATTTTGGGAGTAATGGTTAGGCCACTTTGCTTCTGAGCCCCTCAATTATTTATTAGGAAATTTTATTTACACTTCTACATAAAATTTTTACCTTATTGCCTCATAAGTAAAAAATTTACTTAAAAATTAAATTTGTGCTTATGCAAAACTAATAAGAAATGTAGATAAATAGCGAAAATCATGCAATTTTGCGACGAGCTAGAGAGCCGATTCGAATGTACTTTATTAAAATTAACTAAAAATCACTTTATCAAACTTATACATCATCAAATAAAAAATAGTTTCCAAAAACAATAAAATTTCCATAATAATAAAAAATTTTACCAAAAAAAAAAAACTTACATTTCCAAAATTTCTTCGAACCGCAACTCCATTTTCATTAAAATATCCAACCATAAAAACAAAAAAATCAATTGCTGAACTATGACGCACTTCCAATTCAATTGGATAAATTTGTTCTGCTATTTGTTTTGACATACAATCGAACCAATATTCAATTTTACCATTTTCATATGATAATAATAATTTATGCCAACTACCTGCACCAACTTTATCAAATGTTGTCGTACTATCATTATAATTTTGACTTTTAATACTAAATTTTAATGAATGCTGTTGATCTAAACCAATTTCAAAAATATTTTTTGAACCTTGAACATTTTCTAATGAAAATATTATAAATTCATTTTTATGTAAATTATTTAAAATATTTTCATCAATACGAAAAACACATTCAAATGCAAATGATTTTAATTTTCGAATTTCAGATGAACCACCACTTCTCCAATAATATGCATTTGTATTATTATAACTTTGTTTTAAACGTATATATGTACTTAAATTATCATTGTTTATAGTTTTAAAACCGAATGCTTCTAAAATATTCAAATCACCTTGTAAATCATTAAATTCTAATGATTGAATCGAATTACTAAAATAAATTAAAATTATGATGAATAAAATAAGATTTTTTATCATTTTAATTATTTATAGAGAAAGAACCTTTTTTTATTATAATTCAATTAGTACTGATTATATTAAATTTTGTAAATTAAAATAATTTGATTATAGAAATTTCAACAAAAAATAATTTATCAATTTCAAGAAACCTTGAATTGAAAAAAAAAATTTTTTAAAAATTCCGAGATAATGGAACCGAAGAGCAAAATAATACTACTACTGTTCATATATAATAAATGTAAATTGGGATTAATGACTTAAAAGCACTTCCAGTTCCAATATTATTAAGTGTACGTGTATGAATGTAAATGAAAATGAAAGTTGTGGCAGAAATAATGTTAAAATAAAATTGTGTAATTGAACTTTGTATTGTAGTCTGCAATTTTAATCAGAAATTTTCAATATTCTTTGGATGAATCATAAAAACAAAATTATACTCTAAAATTAAAATGATCTTTACACTAATATTGCTCTTGATTTAAATTTTTAACAAATTTATATAAAAATTGTACTTACTACAAGTTTATCAAATATTTTTTAACCCGTAAATGAGGGTTAAAGTAGTACTTTACACATTAAAGTAAAAACACTACATATTTTACAGTTCAACAACCAAATAAATTTGTAACTATTTAAACACACTTAATAACTCAAACTGCCTCAAGTAAAACCTAAGAAATCTCAATCCTCTGAATTGGATTAATTACATATATAGTCTTAAACACTTTGTTTATAAGTATAATCAAATAAAAGATTAATTTAATGTTATCATGCTCATTAAAAAATTTTTTCTCTTTCTTTTAAAGTTCGTTTAAAATAAATAAGAAATAATAACTTTTATATTATCATTTTTTAATTTACGTTTATCGAAAGTTATAAACAAATATGAATGAATTAATGTAAGTAAAACTAAAACGTGAACACACTTTATAACATTCTCAAATATACGTACGTATGTATCTCCAAACAAATATTTTTAATTTAAGTTGGTGAAAAAAAAAAACAAAAAAACTTTTTATAAATAAAATAAAATTATAAAAACGTAAAGATAGTATTTAGTACTTTGTTCTTTTTTTAAATTCCTTATCTACTCAATTCAAAAATTATAAAAACAAAAAGCAAGCTATCAGAAAATTTGCAGTATAAATGAAATAAATAAGTAGTCATATCAAATCTAAGTCTTCCTATCAATCCAATACTTGCTCCCTAGTTCATTTACGAATTAATTTATAAACAAAATAAAAACGATCAGTTTATAAAAAGAACCAGTGATATTAAGACTTATTTAATTATTATTTTTTTTCTTATTTTCGTTTTTTTTTCAAAAACAAAAAAATATTTATTATATTTTTTTTTTAATTTTACTTTTATTATATTAAAATGGATTTAAATACAATTGAATATTTAAGATTAGATGATTATTGTTTAAATGAAATCTTCTCTTATTTAGAACTTAAAGATCAAATTAGATTTCTGATGGCTAATTTAACTAGAAAAGCAACTTTTTCAAAAAATTATCGAAAATTTTCAATTAAGTATTTTAACAATTGGAATATTACAGATATTGAAAATGCATTCAAAATAATTGGAAAATATATTCAGGAAATGGAATTTATTGTGATAGAAAATAATATTGAAATAATAAGAATATTCAAATTTATAATGAAATATTGTAAACATTTAAATAATTTTACAATAAAATTGGAAAATGAATTAGAAATTGAATATTATAATACACTTAATAAATTGATTTTAAAATCAAAAAATATAGAAAAATTAAAAAAATTACAGCTGCATGTGAAAAATAATGAAAAACCAAATAAACTATTAAAAACATTTGCATTTAAATGCAAAAATTTAATACATTTAGATTTAACAGATTGTAATTATATAACTGGAAAATATATTGAAAAATTTAATAAATTAAAAATTTTAATTTTATTCAAGAATAATTCAATTAAACCAAAATATTTTTTTACTATATGTAGAAATTTAATTAATATACATACACTCGATATACGTTCCATTTTCGAACCTAATGTTCAAATTTTAAATTTTAACACAATATGTGAAAATTTTAAAATACCAGTTCAAAATTTAGCTATAAGTACAGATAATAGAAATATTTTTTTAAAATTTGTTGAAAATATTAAAAATTTAGAAAAATTATCAATTAAAGAAAATTTTTATGAGATTACTAACATTAGTAAATTCCCAAAAACTATAAAAACTTTAAAATTACATAAAACTAATGTTTCATCATATTATAGTAATGTGATATTACAAGATATTATAAACTTAATAAATTTAGAAGAATTACATTTGATTTCTTTTTATGATTTTTGGAATTTAGACTGGATAATTCTTAATGATTTAAAATATTTAAAAATTTTAAAAATTAGTTTTATACTTAATTATTCCGGATATTTTAATAGTTTTGAAACAAATTCAATAAAATTTTTAAATTTTTTAAAAACAACAAACATAAAATATATTTATATAATTGGATTATTTGATGAACAATATTTGTTAAATATAATGAAAGCAGCAAAGGAAAATTTAAAATTAAAATTAAATATTATAGCAAATATTGAAAATAATATTGTACAAAAGGTGAATATTTCAAAATATAAAAAAAGTTTTTACAATATTGTTTAAAACTAAATATATAATATTAATTTAAACTTATCATTTTGATTTATTTCTAAAATAGGATGTGGAATTTCATGAACTAAGCCCTTACATCAATGTAAAATTTGTTGAAGAAAGTTATTTTAAAGATTATATTCTTAAGACTGCAAGCGATATCATATGAAATATTTCGAAATAGTTTTATTAAACTGTAATATAAAATAAAATAAATATATAAATTAAAATAAATAAAATTCAATTCTATGTTTTTTTTTTGGTAGTTTATATTAGTAACTTAATATTCACATAATATATTATGTATGAACTATTTTGAAATATATTATTGTTGAAATGAAATACAATTTGAGTTTTCTTTCTTAGTAAAATTTTTATATACTTCTGATAAATATGAGTATACCATTATTATTATTATTAATATTATATAACTTGAATCAATACTTTTTATTGGTATTTTAAAGATGAAAAGGAAGAACCCCTTTTTATTTACTCAAAACTATCCTAAAAAAATATTTTATTAACTTTTATTATTTTGAATATTTATTATATTGTAAAATTTAATATGTATATATATAATTTTTGAATTAATTCTTAATTTATTAATTTCTATTAATTTATTCCTTGGTACACATAATTTTCTTTTCTGAGTTATTTATAGCAAGATTTTTTTTTGGCATAAATACTGTATTGAAATATTTTTTGTATGTATAAGGGATAATTTATATTTTATTGTATTTTAAAGATTATGTTATTATTGTTTTAATTATTTTGAATCTTTCTCAGTTTAATTTAATTTTTTATTTAAAATTAATTATTATGAAGTAAATATCAGTCGAATTAATTTACACAATTTATACTTATAAGCTATTTGTGACCGCTAAAAATAATGTTAATGTTTATTTAGTTTTTAAATCAGCTTTATAAATATTGAGCGTGAAATCTATAATTTAAAAATTTTTAGAAACAGTATGAGGGAAGTAATAATTTAATTAACCAATTGTTTTTTAATAATTTTCATTATTAAAAAAGAAATTGGTTAATTAAATTATTAAAAAATTAATTAGTTAAAACATTTGACGGTCACATTTTATCAAAACTTTTCTCCGGATTGAAAAGTAAAACAATGAAATTTTTCTTAAAAAAATTAAAAATTGCAAACAAGCTTTTTAAAATAATTTTAGTTGAACAATTAAAAAAACTATTTTTAATATTTTTTAGCTTTTGCTTTCTTTTTTTTTTTAAACAAATAATTGAAAAAGCATAGTTGCAAAACTGAAGCAAAATATTACAAATCTTTGATATTATTAAAGTATTTAAACAATATTTTCTTTAAATATAATTATATACAATTAAAGCTACAATTTGTTATTTCTCTAAAGTATTTATATAAGCAAATAAATTTTTGTTTTCCATTAAAATATTTGAAAGGACGCTAGTATTATTTTAATTTTTGGTCATGTCAAACTTTAAACAAATATTTAATTGATTATTCTTACATTATACAGATTAAACTAATAAATCATAAAATAAATAAGGAAACGTATAGATCAGCACTTAAATTAGGTTTAAAAAGTGTTAATTATTTTTGATAATATTAACAGTTTTTGAATAAATACATTTTTGATATCATATTGGTCAATTAAGTGAATAAATAAATTTTAGTTTTAAATTTTATTTTTAGGATTGTATAATATAATTAAAAAATTTTTATAAATTAAAAATTTTATATTTTAAAAATATTTCGTGATCAAACAATCACCAAATTGTATTATGAAATAAATATCTAATTATTTAATAATAGCATTATCAATTAATAAATTATTGATTTAATACAATATTTGTAAATATATGAGCATATGTATGTATATACGAAAATATTTAGTAAAATGAATCGTTACTATATTCATGATCATAATCAATAGAAGCATTTGCTAAGCATTTAAGGTAAAAATCTTTATCTATAGCGTCATTTGGTATAAGATGAGCATAATTTTCTATATAATCTAAAATTATTTCGGAATCTAAAAATTGTAGAGCTAAATTTAAGAAACAATTCCACGTGTAAAAGAAATGTCGATCAACATTAATATTAACAACTTTTTCACAGTTAATACAATTAAATTGTCCTTTTTGTATCATTGCAAATATTTCGAAACATTTATTCCATGCTGTTATATCATAGTATTTTGCAGCTTCTTCAAAAACTGGTGCTGAGCAATAATTTAATGAAATTGGAATCACTTTTGCAAAATTCATATCAGTTATATAAAAACGACAAATAACATCAAACATTGCTGGAACTTGTTTTAATATATCAAAACAGCGTTGTTGGTCATTACGTGACCATAAAAATTTAAATAAGACCTCACCAAGCTCATGATAACGACAGCTATTACTAAAACGTACAGGAAAATCACAGGAATCACATCTAATTATTGTTTGATTTTGAGTCGAACCACTAGGTGTTGATGTTTGCGTATTCAAGAGGCAAAATCCATTAATTATGTATTCCAGGGACTCTTTGTCAAATTCATATATTAACTCTGGTTTTAAATAATTAAAGTACATTTCATAGCAATTAGCTTTTGCATCTATTTCTGCATCACCATGCTCCCGCATTACTTTTTCCAATTTATTAAGTATATTTATTATTTCATTTGAAGTATACAAATCAAATACACAACTGTACCGATCTAAAAAATTTGTATTACTTATTTTTGAAGATCGGCATATTAAAAATAAATTATAAATGGTTTTCTCTTCATTAGTTATAGCAAGGGTATTGATTGTGTCATTATCAGATGTCGCTGCCACTTTTCGAGACGATTTTTTCACAACGATTTCTTCATCATCTTTAGAATCCATAGTAAAATTGATATTTTGATAATGTAAATCTCTTTCTTCTGACGAAATAATTTCTGAATTAAGCTGATTGTTTGAACTACCTGTTTGACCAGAAGCTGTGGATACAACTGATTTTACTGCCGAAACTGATGATGGTATTAAGTCATTTACTAGTTTTTTTTGTTCATCACTAAATATGTTAAATTTATATTTGATAATATTTTTGCCAAATTTTCCAGTCACTGTTAAAAGTGCGTCTTTAAAATGTTTTTCACGGTCTGAATTAAGTTTTAGATTATCACAAAATGCATTTTCTAAAATATAAACACCGTTCTCACTTCCATTTAGCGTACTATTAATGCTCTGTTGATCCAAATCACTACAATGCAAAAAAATTTTATATATTTCATTTTGAACATTTGACGTTTAATTTTTATTTTAGAATACAAAAATAGAATATTAATGAAATTGAAATGTAACATAACTAACGGCGCATACTCAAAAAAGTTAGCAAACTATTTTTAGGTATTTTCAAGATCATGTTAGTTCAGAATAAAAGCTTTTGAATAGATTATGTTATTAGTGAATAATTTATCGACGCAATGTTTTCGAAATAAAAAAATGTTTACAATGCTTAAAATGTTTTTCTACCCGGCTTTATTACAATAAACTGCCATGATTCAACACTACTGATATTTTAATACAAAAAAAAACTTACGTTTTGTTATTACTACTTCCACTTTTTTTGCTACTGTTACTTCTTCTATCAATGGGTATACTTCCACTTCCACTCCCACTACTCAACTCATTTTCAGCTTGTGTTATACTATCAAATATAACTGACAAATCATTTAACAGTTCATATTGATTGGTGTTCATTAAATAACTCTTAATATCATTTAATAGTACTAAGTCGTAGTCTTCTTTAGCTTTCTCAGCAAAATACTTTAAATTTTTTTTCATTAACCAACTACATTCCAAATATTTGGCTTGTTGAACTAACTCCACAGCTAAAGTTTGTAAAATTTGCAATCGCATAGAATAAATAAAACCTCCAACTGTAAAAACAAGTATTTCATCTACCCCAACAATTCGACAATCTGCTATCCTATCAAAACGGTTTGACCACAAAACAACTTTTGATTGCCGCATATCAAATATATATAATCCATTATCAGTGTATGTGAATATGAAATCACCTCTTATAGTTTGAAGTTTTGCAAATTGTAAATTTTGAGGATAATACTCAACAACATCTATAGTACCAACTTCGTCACCAGATTCAATTACTTCTTTATTTTGATAATCACTATCGTTATCGGCTATTTCTTCTGACTTGTTTCTTTCATCTTTTGACGGCATAATTGAACTTGTAGTAGATGAAGTGTAAATTTTAGGAAAATTAATCGGTGGACAAGCCAAAGCTTGTTTAAATTGATGTGTTTTTAGCACATTTCCCTCCAAATCAACTTCCCATATCCTGGATCCTGGTCTTGCACAATATATACGGGAAGGAAAAACATTTTCATTTGATGATATAGTAAAACAAGCCCCATAGTCACCATCCCTTGGTCTATTACCTATTTGTTTATATTCTTCGTATTCAGTATTACATAAAATACATTTGGTGCTATTTGAAATTAAAAGCAGAGATTCAAAGTCACTTATTTGAACAACTGGAGATTCCAAAAACAATATTGGATGTACTGACAAATTCAGCAGTGTTCTTCCCTTAAAATCAAAAATAGGGTTATATAACTAACAAAAAATGATTTTCATATTGTTTCATGTACGACATAATATTTAAAAATTCAGTAATTTTATAAATAATAGATTAGTTTCAAAAAATATATATTTTAACATCTTACCATAAAATATGTCAGAGTTACTAAATTCACTTGACCTTTTTTGTCACCAAAATAAAACTGCCGTTCATCAGCATGCCAGTGCAAACTAGTTATTTGCGATATTTCTGAATTAAATCCTGTAGTAATTATCTGAGGCGGAGAATTAGCTGATAAATTAATAACATAAACACAAATTACGCCCTTAGTTGTAGCAAAAGCCACTAACTTTTCCCCAGGGGATATCAAAACTTGGTTAATTGGTCCATATTTTGTTGGAATCAAATGCAAAAATTTACAAAATCCGGGTTTTCTATTGAATAAATATAAACTACCAGACGTGGCTCCGAAAATGAAGTATTTTGGTGATGCGTCAAAGCAAGTATACTAAAAACACAAATTTTTACTAAATATTTTTGTTACTTTTTTTCATTTTACCTTAATCCTTTGCGTATGTTTGAGTGGTTCATTGATTAAAGAAGTATAGTCGAAATAGTTCGACAAAGTAAATATGTCATTCATAATTATTTTTTAAATTGTGCACATTCCACTTATTTAGATTTTCAATAATTTTTGATATATTCAATAAAAATTAAGCAAATTCAAAAACAAAGATAAAATAAACACAGACCTTCTAGTTTCAATGTAATTTTGACATATAAAATGTCAAAACCTTTGTGTTGCCATTGCTTAAAAATTTTACAAACACTTTTCGGAACACTTCCACAATGTCGAACGAATTTTTAAACTTTTACACAATCTCTCTCATACCCAAAATATATTCGTATCTATTTATTTTTCGAGTATCGAAAAGTATTTTTAAAAACCGTAATAATAATGTAAAAAATCACTTTTACCTAACTCGCATAATACTTTTCTATAATGTTACATGTATAACTAGTCGAAAAATTAAAAAATTATTTTAAATAGAAAAAAGCGCGTTCACGAACTTTATTATTTCTTAAAAAAATAATTGATTTAAAACTGAACTCTCTGTCGTGAACGAACCGAATATTTAAAAGCAAAATCTGAAATACTGTATGTTCAAATATCATTTGAGTCATTATTTCATCAATCCCATGTTCTTCATTTTTATGAATGTTGTAGAGTTCTGAACATAGCAGAATTGTCTGTCATATTTTTTGAAGAAAAAAAATTTTCGTTTTTTCGAAATTTCAAAGGAAAAAAATTGACAGTAAAATTCACTTGACGTCTGACGAATGCTTTGCTTTGGAATAATTAACATCTTCCAAAGAAAACTAAACTATAAGAAAAGTTTATATTATTCTTAAATTATTTTTTAGTAAATTTAAGTGAACACCTTATTATTATGTGTAATGTGTGTAAAACACAAATTGTTTTTTAAAGATAACTTGTGATTATTTTGCTGCTGTGCAGAAGAAAATATGGCTGACGATATGTCAAAACAACCAAGTACTTTTTCACTTATTCAATATTGAATCAAAAAATTAACTTAGTTTTAATTGTCTTAGGTAGCAGATCTCGTCCTCCACCTAGTGATTTAGGATTTAATACATTAAATTTATCCTCACCAACAAGAAATAAACGTTTACTGGCATTAAGTTTACAAGATGGTACAGGTGAGTCAGCACTCATACCTCAGGCTGCTATTTCTGCACCTGCTGCTGTACAATTAAATGAAAGAACAAGGGAAAGAATTAAAATACAAGCGAGTGGTAAACTTCAACTTGGAGATAATCCAAAAGAAGAATATCATTTTACTTCTGATGATATGGAAGATTTAGGTGAAATTGGACGGGGAGGATTTGGTGCTGTTAACAAAATGGTTTTTCGCACGACGGGAACGGTAATGGCTGTTAAACGAATACGTTCAACAGTTGACGAAAAGGAACAAAAACAATTACTAATGGACCTGGAGGTTGTAATGAAATCGAACGATTGCAATTATATAGTTCAATTTTATGGGGCTTTGTTTAAAGAAGGAGATTGTTGGATTTGCATGGAACTGATGGACACTTCTTTGGACAAATTTTACAAATACATATACGAAAGGAAACAGCAGCGTATACCAGAATCGATTTTAGCTAAAATTACTGTAGCCACAGTTAATGCTTTAAATTATTTAAAAGAAAAATTAAAAATTATACATAGGGATGTTAAGCCAAGCAATATTTTATTGCATAAGCGTGGAGATATTAAATTATGTGATTTTGGCATTTCAGGGCAGCTTGTTGATTCCATAGCTAAAACAAAGGATGCTGGATGTAGACCATACATGGCTGTAAGTTAAATTTTGAAATCTAAATGTAAATCAGTGAACGATGATACTAATTATAGCCTGAGCGAATTGATCCTGAAAGAGCTAAAGGTTATGACGTTCGCAGTGATGTTTGGTCTTTGGGTATAACTTTAATGGAAGTTGCGACTGGGACTTTTCCTTATAAAAAATGGGATTCTGTATTTGAGCAGCTGTGTCAGGTAAGTTCGTTACGTATAGTAATACAAAATTTGTCAAATTTTTTAACACAACTGATTAAATTGCTCTTAGGTTGTTCAAGGTGACCCACCAAGATTAGCGGCTTCTTATAACGATACTTTACAATTTTCTGAAGAATTTGTTGAATTTGTAAATACCTGGTAAGTAGCTTAAATTTGAATATAGGATCAAAAAATTACAGAATAGGTTACAAATTGTGCTTCTATCTTTAAAATTTATATAATTTAGCTTTTATGTTAAAGACTAAAGTTTATAATGTTTGTATTTTTAAAGTTTAATTAAAGATGAAAGTGAACGTCCTAAATATAGTAAATTGTTGCAAATGCCATTCATTCAGCGTGGGGAACGTAGTCTTACAGATGTATCTGCATATGTTACTGATGTATTAGAATCAATGGAAATGGACGGAATCACTCAATTCACAACAAATCAGCCAGCCGAAAGTTAATAACATATTTTTTTATATTTTAAAAGTATATTCGATAATTAAAAAATAATTTTATGTTAAATAAAAAAAAAATTGAAAGATGATTGCAACATTTCAAAGTAAATCAAAGTAAAAATTTTTATAATCTTGGAAAAAGTATAAATAAGATAGAGGCTTAAATTCTGGTATTTTAAAGTTGTTCGGGTATAGAAATTTATAAAATAAATAGAGCTGTTTCATATCTGTGATCTATATTTTTTTTTTTAGATTTTTTTATTTGGGAAAATTAAAGTTCGAGTTCAGAAACAAAAAAAAATTTAAAATGTTACGAAAATAAATTATTTGTATCAAATAATTAAATGGGTCTATAGATATTTTGCTTTAATGAAACGTAATTAAATTAAAGATTAACAGCAATATGCTTTTTTTCAAACACTAGAATTTTTTACAAACTTTTTTTTTTTAAATTGTTTTATTAGAAATCAAAATTTTCAATTCTTATTTAATTTTTACTTTGATTACTATTAAATGTTTTAACCATCTTATATTGAAATTTAACATATAAATGCTACATTTATTTTAACTTGCCTTAGGTATCTATTGTCTGCAAGAAAGAAATTACATTATATGGCTTAAGTAACTAATAATATAATTACTCAATTTTAATTTTACATAAAAGATTTATTATATATAAAATAACGAAATTAAAAAAGGAAGAAAAGAAAATATAAAAAAAAAATGTATGAAAATTAAAATATTGTTTGTCAGCCGTTAAAACTTAGGTGATATTTTTTAATTATTCATTCATAGAAAACAAAATTTGTTTTCGTAATGTTATAATAAAATTTATATGGTGCATATTTAATAGCAATCATATAAAATAATTATGAGAGTAAAAGATATTTGAAAAAAAAAAAAGCTAAATATTTAATACAAAAAAGAAAACTGATTGTACATCTTAAGAAGCATTATTATTGTTAAAAATATTAAGACTTAAGTTTAATATATCTTAGATTTTATTTAGAAATTGACTAAATATTAGTTGAAATATTACGTTTAATAGCAGATTTTAAGTTTTTCTAAATTTTTTTAGTTTATTTTTTTTTTTTGTTTTGTAATTACAATAGGATCGAGATCACTGGAATATAATCTCCAGCTTTTGAAAAATTTTTATTAAAATATCAAACTTGGTTTATTTTTTATGTTAAAATTTAATTTTAAATAAAACTTGTTCAAGTGGTTGACAAAAGTATTTTTGATATTTTTAAGTTTTTGTCAGAAAAAAAAATTATTCAATATATATGAAAAAAAGTGCTATTCGATTATATTATTTTGTGGAATGTAATTTTTTTAAATGTTTAATTTAGAATTTTTATTTTAAAAAAATTTTAATTTCAATTATTTGTACAATTATTTAAATAAATTTGCTTAGAAAAAAAATACATAATATATTATATAAACAGAAAATTTTATTTTGTAATTTGTTTTATTTCTTTTATTTTTATTTTATTTCATTTTTTCATTTATTTTAGTTATTAAAATTGTTTCTTATGACATTTTATTTGCAAAATTAGTAAATTTATTTCATTAATGAAATTGGAAGTATAAGATAAACTAACAACATCAAAATTTTTTTTTTAAATAAAAATTTTAAAAACAAATCTTTAGAAAAAAAAATAAAGATCGTGACTATCAATTTGCTTTCTTAATAAAAAAAAAGCCAACAAATCAACACCAACCAAAAAGGGTTGAAATAAATAAAAAATAAAAGGAAATTCAATTTATTTTTATAAACAAAAATAAGAAAAAACTAAAAATAATTAAATAAAATATTAAACTTCTTAATGTTAACATTTTCAAAAACAAAAAAATATATATATAAATAATTATATTATTGATAAAAGCATTTTTTAAAACTAGTAATTATTTTTAAAAATTTTTTATCTACAATTTAATACTGCCTTATTAAATAATAAATTTTTTCTAATTTTTCTTATTTTTAAATATCGTTTTTTTTTTGTTTTTTATATTTGCAATATTTTAAATATTTATGTTAAAATTTTGATGGAGTTTGTAAATAATTATTAAAAATTGTTTGAAGCTTTTAATAACTCCAATTTGCGTCCAATATCAATAATATATAAATTTTAACTTATTGAATGATATTCCATCGAAGTTTTTCAACAATTCTTAAAAAATTAAATTTTTACTAAAGTATGTAATTATTAAAACAATATTCATTATGGTTTTTAAAGTTTTATCAATTAATTGTTTTTGTTTTTGCTTTTGTTCTTTAATTTTGTTTTATAAAAGCAGTTTAAAAATTATTATATTGAATACCTTGTATATATAAGAAATATTTATAAATACGTAATATATGTAATATTTTAAATAAAAAATTTTATATAAAATATAAAATGCACAATATATAAATATTATGATTATTAATAATTGGATATTTTTAAATATTACAATTATTATTAATTTGATTATCTTATTATTAAGAAAATCCAAAGTGATCAATTTTATTCTCTTTAATTAAATATTTTACTTAAATAATATTCAAAATATAGTATATTTTCCATTTATTAAATATTATAAAAGCAACATTTAAAAAAAAAAATTTGTAATGATTGAAATTAAAAATTCATTTATATCTTTTGAAAGAGATTCATATTTGGAAAAAAAAATAAAAATTACTTTAAAAAATTGTAATCAATTTAAAAAAGCAAAATATTATTTGATATTAGGAGAAATATTAATTTACTTTTCTAAATGAATCAAAAAAATAGCATATTAACTGGCCGAAATTTCCACATAAATTTTAGATGTTTAAGCAGTACATGAATTAAAAAAAACGATTACATGTTACAATTGATCCGCTTTATTTATCCAAATATTATTTTGTTCAACCAAAACAAAATATTCAAATAAATAGAAATTTAAATATATTATTAAGTTTTTACTTTTTGCTTCAAAATCTTTTAGATTTTTAAATTATCACTTTGGCCTAAAAAGAACTCATTCAAGATTTATACTTTGTGCAAATTATATCAATAAATTTGTAATAATAAAAATTTTTCCTTTCAGCATCAAAAAATCTCACAAAATATTTACGAATTTAAAAAAAAAAAATCAAATATAAAAATCCAAATATCATCAAAACACCATAGAAGTGCAGTTTACAAATAACAAAAATTAAAAATACGTAATCATTAAAATATTAAAAATAAATAAAAATAATAATATATTTTAAATTCAAAGAATTTTTAACCTTTCTTATTTCAAAGAATGAATTATATACGATATTAATGCAGCAAAATTAAATTTAAATATAATATAAAATTCTTATTAAAACAGAATTTTATTTCTAGTAGCTACAAAAATTTAAAAAATAAAAAATATAAATATAAAATATTAAATACAGTATGAGACAATGTTGTACCTTAATTTTATGAATTTCTATAAATTTTACATTGAAAAAATAAAACTTGTGTAAAAAGAAAAATACAAAATTTTCGTCCATAATAAAAAAAAAAAAGTTTATAATTTTTTTTAAAATAACTTAATTATTTTTAAAAGCAAAACAAAAATAAACAGCAATATATTTCACACCATAAATATAAACAAAAAAAACGCCAATAAAAATAATAATTATTTTAATTAAAAATAAAAAAAACTACATTCATATAGCAATAAATATCAAGAAAAAAAAAATGTTTTTTAAAAGAAATAAGCAAAAAGTTTTAAAATAATGATTTTAAATAAAATTTAATTTTAAGTCACATGCCTGTTAATTTTATATTAATTTAAATAAATAAATTATAGAAAATTGTAAAATTCCTGAATATTAAAAAATTAATATTACGTTCCAAATTTTAAATCCCTATATTATTTTAATAAAAGTTGGTCTTAATTGAAAATTGCAAATTTTTATAACTAAGATAATAATTAATTATTGATTATAAAATTATATCAATGTTTATTACTCTCTTATTAAAAAACTTTGTTTTCCAAAAACCTAAGCCGATTTCGATAATTGTGATAAGACTTTTTAAACCAACAATTTATAAAAGAAAATTTTTACACACAATTTATAACTGAGAATTTAATCATAATATAATTTCCGTTTTAAAAATATTTGCAAATTTCAAGTTAAAACTCTTCAAACTATGTATTTATTATAAAAATGAAACAATTTTGAATTAAGAAATTTAAATTAATTGGTTCAAACTATATATGTATGTATGCGCCCCTATAAAAAAGACCAACTATTTTATTGCACGTACTTAAAATTGGTTTCTTTATGAAAAAAAAAAAACGAAAAACGGCTTCATATCTGATATTACCAGATACAAATCATATTGTAAAATTAAGCGGAAGCATAAAAATTATATTAAAAAAAAATTAAATCGTGATACATTACGACATCAATAAATAAAGAAAAAAAAAAATATTATTTTACAAATTACAAATAATTTGGACAAAAAGTGCATGTATTTTAAGAATAATTATGATTTTTTTTAAGAATTGAATTCCAATAAAATTTAGTTGTAAACCTTTAGAAGCTCTTTTTAATATAAAAATTCTAATTCTAAATTTAAAAACATAATTTGTTCCCCTTTAATTTAATTTCAAAATTTTATGCTGGCTCTTGTTAATTACATACTCACATAATTTATTGTTTTACGGAATTTGACCGAAATTTTTTTTTTGTTTTAACTCCACAAAATTTCAAATTGTTCAAATTTAAAAAAAAAATAAAAAATTAAAATTTAATTTTTTTATAAAATAAAAAAAAAATTGTTATAGAACAAAAAAACAAAAAGCAAAGTCCGTTTTTTTTTTGTAAAACTAACACTTTACAAAAAAATTTTTATAAAAACTAATTTTTCACAAAGAAATTGTAGAGAAAACATTAAAATATTCAAAACATTTTCCAAAATCTGTTATTTTAAATAAAATAAAAGTTAAATATGAAAAATAAATAGTTATTAAAACACCATAAAATTTTTATCAATGTACAAAAATAAATTACAAAAGCGAAGAAAAAAAAAATATAAAAAGAAGCAAAAAAAAAATGAAATAAAGAAATTTATACTGTACGTAGTTTTTCGTAGTTTTGAACAGCACTAATAAAATTATTGTATTTTATACTAATATACTTTTTATATTTAAATAAATATATTAATACATATACACACATATATATATATTTAAATGCTAAATTACTCATTAAAAAAAATACACAAAAACAGCAAAACAATTAGCTAATCTTTAAAAATTTTCAGCAAAAACTAAAATATTCACACTATTTAAATAAAATAAAATTATTAAAGCAAAAAAAAACATTACATATTTTTCGTAGGAAACACACAAAACACTTCATCATTATCACACTTACGTACTAAACTATGTAAAAAAAAAGAATTAGAAACTTCGTCACAACCCAAAAATGAAACAAAAAAAAATTATTTTTTATTTTTGCAAAATAATGAAAAGCTTTTTAAAAATAAAACAATTAAAAATATTTAAAATAAAAACAAGAAAAAAAATACCTTAGATTTTAAATATCAGTTATAAAAAAGAAAAAAATAAATATACGAAATAATCAAAAACAAAAAAAAAAAAATTAGATGAAAATGAAAATTTTAAATAAAATTAAAAAAAGGAAAAAAAAACTAAAACCATTAAACAAAATAAAAATAAAAAATACATGGAATACATTTAGGAAATTTAAAAAAATTTATTAAATAAAAAAAAAAAATGAAAAGAAAATTAATAAATTAAAATGTCATCCAGACAATAAATCAAATGTTAAATAATAATTATTATTATTATAAAAAAAAAAAATATTTCCATAAAATAAAAATTATATATAAAAAAAATAAAAGTATTTTAAAAATTATTTAAATACCCTTCCTAATTTGGGGATTTTCGAAAATTCAGTTCTAAGTTACATAGATCTTAATCAAAATAACAAAATCTTCAAATGTAGCTTGTTCGACCAATGGGAATTTTCGCTTATACTTACTGTGTTGAAACTTTAACATTAAAATTTAAATTCCTTAGACTCTAAATTTAAATTTTTGATAAACAGTTTTCTAAACTTTGGTACCAATATGCTTTGAACATACTTTCGTACGACGGCAAGTATAAATATCAATAACAATAATAGTAAAGGATTTATAGAAGCCTCCCAAACTATTTTTGCTGTGTAATGTCATTTTATATTATTTTAAATTCGTGATAGTTTTTATGATGCTTAAGATATACATAAAATAAAGAAAATACATTGTTGCTTTCGAAATAAGAAAATATAAAAAAAATAAATATTAATGATGGTAATAGTCAAAGAATTATAAAAGTATCAGTTGGAATAGGTGTTAGCGGATTGGATAAG